AAATGCTGGGCATAAAAAGACGAATGCAGTCATGATATCAGAATAGACCCTGGGGTCTGACCGAACCCCTAGGGACCTAGTTTGTTAGTCACAGCTTGGAAACAGTTGAGAACCCCACCCTATAACGGTATATACAATTGCTGAGTATAAAGAGATGATTGCACATATGCTTCCAGGATGGCCTTGGGGACTGCCCCACCCTTGGAGACTTAACCCCTGGGTCATAACTTCGAAATGGTTTAGATCCCCACCCCAACACTATATATACAATTGTTGGGCATAAAGAGACGAATGCAGTCATGATATTAGAATTGACCCCAGGGTCTGCCCCACCCTTGCAGACTTAACCCCTGGGTCATAATTTTAAAATGGTTGAGATCCCCACCCCAAAAATATATATATACCCGTGCTGGGCAAAAAGAGACAAATGCAGTCACGATATTAGAATTGATCCTGGGGTCTGGCCACAACCCTAGGGACCTATACTAGTTTCTGAGTCAAAGCTTGGAAACAGTTGAGATCCCCACCCCATAACCATACATAAAATTGCTAGGCATGAAGAATCTTAATACATGTACAGATATGCTACAAGGATTGGCCTTGGGGTCTGGCATATTCCCTTGATCTTATTCAGAGAATATTTTGCCATGATTGCTTTGGTATCCAGGTGAGCGATACAGGCCCTCTGGGCCTCTTGTTCAATATCTAGCATACAGATTTAAGACTGAAAAGTATTTGAATTTAGCACCTCTGATTCTAAACAAGGAAAATGAAGACATTTTAGCACACTGACTCCTTTGGGTGCCCTTGGGGGTAGAGCTGGCTCAAAATGTTCAAAGTATCAAACTGTTGACTCGGGGTTATAATTCCAATCAAGTTCTCAACATGTAATATTCAAAGTATCATTTGCCATAATAAATTCTGTCCCCCTCCCCCAGGGGTAAACGTGCGACCCTAGGGTCATAAAATTCACAATTTTGGAAGAGCACCTTAAAACCCTTCCATCTATGAAGAGTATTTGATTCTACCATATCTGGGTCTTGAGAAGAAGATTTTGAAATTTCAGTCAATTCAACCCTTTTTGGCCCACCCATCAGCCCCTGGACGTCAGTCAGGGCTGATGGGTGATTTCCATATAGGACGACGGACAAAAGGCGATTGCAATAGGTCACTTGAGACTTTGTCTCAGGTCACCTAAAAATTAAATGCAGATGGTGGTTATCAAAAAGGGAACAACCTTTGATACAAACAGACAACCTTTAAACATGTACCGTATTTATCCTGTAATAAGCCCAAGGGGCAACACACTGATTCAAAGTAGACAGTTAGCTTATTACAGGACAATAAAATTGCATTTGTTGGAATTTCTACTGAACTGCAATATATATGGATGGGCTTATTAACAGACATGGGTTGATTTTCGGTTGAATACGGTAAGTATTATTTAAAGCATCAACAAAATCAATTTTGATTTATAATTAAGCAATTAAGAATATCCTATCCATATCACATGAAGATAATATTGAAAATCAATCTAAAACTACATACAATGTATATATAGAGATCAAAAATAGCATTTGAAGACCATAAAATAAAACTAATTATATGTAAATTATCTGATTTTTCACAAACAAAAATATTTTTCGAGCTTATCAAGTGTTGAACAGAGTCTTGGTTGCTGTTTGTATTACTGAACAGATTGAAAGGGCAGGAAGTTGGAACAAAAAGTTGTGGAAAAAATAGAATTGTCTGTATAATACAAATACAATCCCCCGAGTTTTAGGATATTTTCAAGCATGATAGCAATTGAGATTTAACTGGAGCAGATGTATGTGGCACATCATCTGTAAATGATACCATTTTACAGAATCATATCTTTTTTTCAAAATAAAAAAACTACTGTGGTAGAACTCCGAACATGTCCACTACCAGCTTCCACGTTATAAATTTTAAAAAATCATAACGAGAACTGAATACCATAACAAGGGAGATCACTCGTAAAAGCATGAAAAGAGACTTCAGTACGTGACACTAGATTCACAAATATTGCATGTTTGGTGAAGTTAAGTAATAAGACAATGAAGATACGCTGAGGGGGAAAAATGTATGGAAATAAAATTAAAATGGTCATAAATCTGTCTATTGGCGCAAAACCCTATAGCAGTATGCAACACTCCGCCTATTGTTAAGTAAGGATTATCCGCTTTGGACAAACTTAAGTATCAAAATGCCTAAATTTTGGCCATAACTGTATGGAGTGGGACGGGAGACCAGACTAGTACGTAACGTTTTGCCTTCCTGGATGTAGGTGGAATAGCAAGAAAGCTTTGGTCAGGACGAAATACTGTTGACACACGGCCAGTTAGTCGGCTCTATATCATAGTACGATCTGTCATTGGACGGGTGTATTTAAAGTGAAACTATGCAATTAAAACTTGTACCCTTTACATGAACTCAGTATAGGATACTTTGTACACATATTTCGCTATCATGCCTTCATTCACGCCTCACTCTGTACAAACATCAGTCATTTGTCGGCTTCATGGTCAACAAGTAGGCATAATATTCGCCTTTGTTCAAGAATGTTCATTTCAACAATCGCTATTGTCGGTTGCATGTTTGCAAAAAAACAAAAAAAAAACAAAATATGTTTGTTTTTCTTATTTCTATGTGAATTTTAATTATTTTTATTGACACAAACCTAAATAATCGGACATTCTCTCTGCATACATCTTATCCCTAATGAAAACCAGTTGAAGAAAAAAAGAAGACTCACGTCGAACACCTGTCCAGTCCACAATTTTCTCCTCGTGGTATGAAATTATAGTTTTCTACTATCGGAAAACATGCACAAGCATCTATATATCGCGATATATTTACTAATGTACATTAATCTGTGCTGGTAAAATGCTGTCTATATTTACATAGTTGATTCTTATAACAGTATAATATCCTTTATTTCTAGATAGACAAAGCAATGTTGGAACAGATGAAACCTGAATTATTATTTGGTTTTGCCTAGAAATATTTCCATCAAGTTATCTGATACTTGGTGCCTTCCTCCTAAAACAGTAAGACAAATACTGGTCCATGTGTCGCCATGTGGAACTCTTCAGTTTTATGCCTAGACAATCTGAAACACAACAAGTCTGTTTCTTGACCCTGATGTCCAAACCATATTCAACGACCTGCATGACAAGTCTGTAGTTGTGAGCAGACAAGCCATCTAAATAACTACATTTCTTGCTGGCGAAAAGAACCAGACGTACTTGATAACCAAGGACACTCAACTCTTATATTTTCATTTTTTTCGAAAGATAAGAAATGTACTACTCTATTTCTACTTATTCACGTTTAGTTATTACAATTTTCCTTAATATCTATTAACGATAACGATACGGACCTACCTCGTTTGTATTGGATTCCAAAACTTTGTTTTATAAAAAAAAAAACGTTTATCGCCGGCTCTGCTAGTTGCTCAACAAAACCATTATCCAACTTCTTAGTACCATTAAATATGGTTTAACAGTATAACACTGTGTACCACAGAAATGGAATTAGTCGAATGTAGTTTGTAAGAATTTAAAAGATTGTCTGTTCAACATTGAGCATCCTCTTTACCAATCTGAATAAATACAGCTGTTCATTATCACGTACCGCATGAGCATAATAGCTTCTTTTTTTTATTAACATCTGATTTTAATGAGATTGCCTCTTTACATTACTTTACCTAATACAAAACTGGAAGAACGCATTCGTTCTTTTGAATATCGCGAAGTCCTTCTATTTCACTTTCTTTCATATCGACGTTGTGCTATCTTTAATTATATGTAATGTATGTTAATAAAATATCAATAAAATGTATTCATTGTATTAAATATTTCAATGCTTGGTCCTCGGATGGGAAAGTGATGAAAATATTTACCCCCTCACTGTCATAGATATAGTAAATATGGCTACATTTACAGTATTATATTAACAATACCTAATATCTCAGCAATTCAAAAATTCATATTCAATTAGTTTGATATCTATTCCATGTATTTTCGCTACTACAATTTATTTACTCATCTTTTTTTACTGTATTCATAAATGCCGACTTGGAGGAAATATTGGCGGTTTCGCCATAGCTTTTTATGTATATATGTTAGCTTGTCTTGTATTTGTTGGCTTAAAAGGGTGATGTAAATGAAATGTTAAATGTAAAAGTATTGATATATAAACAGACAATTTCGTGTTTATAATTTTATTTTTTCAATTACATAGCCCCAAAAAATATTTAAACTTAAAAAATAGATATCCAAAATATACCTAATATATCACATACACAGAAAAGCTAAATTAACAACCTATTAAGTGTTTATTTATTATCTTATTTTATCAGTTTTGTACCCCACAAAATTTATCAAATCTTAAATATATATCCAAAAATACCTAACATATCACATACACGAAAAAGCTACAAGTCAGACAGGTAACTTTAACACAGGTAAGTTACCTGTGTGGTAAGTATGAAACAGACTATTATTGGTTTGCCATTGTCTTCCTATATCGACACTTTTCTTTGTTCTCTAAAAAGAGGGGGAACTGAGAACACCCCAAGCTAATAATAACAACACAGTTTAAAAAGACGCAGGTTGAAAAAGACTGGATGAGTTTTGAATCATGGTCTCATTTGGAACTGAAAAATATTTTCGCCATTTCGAAATTCAGGAACAACATTTATATAAGATTGCAACGCAAGATTCCGAATACGATATACTTTGTGTAATATATGTGATTATGCTCATTTGTTTGATTTGCCTTTTCCAACTGTCATCACCACTACGGTTTTCGCCATGAACGAAGACTGACAATACTTGGAAATGATGTATATTTACAAATATTTACCATCGTATGGCATTGCCACTATATAACGTTGGATATCACTGACCCTCCTTGGGCGATGGCTGTTCTATACATTGAACAAGCATACACGATACATACATTATTTTTATCAAATGTTGAATAATAGTAAATGTAATTGAGTTTTCTATGAGATGAACAGATTCCAAAAATGGTAAATACAACTGCTTTCATTTGGTATTCATAGGAAAAATAAATCCAACTGGACAAAGTCAAATACAACATGAAGCGCTAGCGCTTCATTGAATTTGCCCTTGTCCAGTTGGCATTCATATTGCCTATGAATGCCAACTAAAAGCAGTTCAATGCTTAAATGGAAGTCATCAATGTAGCAAGACCCTTCCAGAAAACCTGGTCTTATTATACTTGTACGATTATAGTTTGCCCCAGATTTATCGATTTTGAGTTCGAATGACAGTTTAGTTGGCGCTTCAATGTTCTCTTTTTTTAATTATTATTTTAAAATAATAGCAAATAGGCAAACACGTCCGTATTCAAAGAATTATTTAACTTTGAATGTATGGGTAAATTCTGCCTACGTTTGCATCAACGTAATTATGACGTCATTAACGAGAGATTTTCCCGCCAATTTCACGACTTTGCATGTGTTGTGGGCCAAACTTGCCCCAGTATCATGGGCCGAAAAACCTGTCCCAAATTGATATTTCAGTATGTTCGTATGTTACTCCAGAGAGTCGATGCAAGACTTTTATGTATTTAATCATATTAAGCTGTTACACGTATATATCGTCATGACATAAATAAGTAGCGATTCGGTTTACAGCGGAAAGTTCGCCATATGCAAAAACATTAACGTCTCTGGCAAAATTAGACTTGAAAGAAGTGAGTTCATGATTCTCTTAAAAATTAACTTCATCACTTTCAGTAATTATATAAAAAAAGGTTTCTCACAATTTTTCGTGTCCAGTCAATTAAACTGCTAATTAATATTCTCGGCAAATTGCTCTTGACTAAAACTATCAGTGCCAGTGGTGGGCCCAACTTGCACCTGTCTCCCCCTGTTACTGTAGTTTTACCCAGAGATACGTCTCTGTTTTACCTATGAAATTTGGTTATATCTCAATTCACAGACACTGGAAAGGAAATAACATTTGCGCAGATGTATGCAAATTGCTTGTATCTGGATCCAATTGAAAATTTGGCGGTGATATGCACCTTAAAGGTGAGCGCGCGGAACTCTTCATCCTAGGAGATACGATAATGGCGGCAGAAGAAAATGGCTGCGAAAACAGATATTGTTCGAATTTCTTACGGTGAACTAGAAAATATTGTACAGAAAAAGACAGGGAAATCTTCAGCACATCAAGAAAGACAAGTGAAAGAAGGTATATATACCAAAACTGATCATGTATCCACTCCTCGAAGAACTTACGATTGGGATAATTAAAAAAAAAAAAGAAACTTTGTTTGCTCCATTTCAGATGATTTTCAAAATATTTTGAGAATTTCCATAAATAGAACATGAAAAAGTTGTTCTATATTTGTTTTTTGTAATCAAAAGAGGAACACAATGTTCTGAAACAAATTTGTGATCATATTAATTAGGTGACTATTATTAGGGTGTATTGTTTCCCGCTTGTATTTATTATTAGATTGATGAAACGATTTTCAGTTTTAATTTGTAAACATAGCATGAATCGGATTTTTTTCTAACAAGAAACTAATTCCCAAAAAGTCGGTTGTGCGTTTTTGGTTAATATGGTGGGCTAAGGTGATAGTGCACTCGTTTGGATTGGTTGCAAGTTTCACGAAGACCTGCCATTTTGAACAGCGTTTGTTATATTTAGAATAAAAGTATCCTCTGTTTATCACTTTATGTGCTTTGTGTCGGACAATTCACCCCAAAACGGTAATGCCCACAAGCTGTTTCGCCCTGTTTGTTTCATATTCCCCAAAGCCTTAATGCCCAATCATAGGCGTATATATATATTACACGTCTCTGGCCCAATTTCGATCGCCTCAAATCAATCGATTAAAATATTCAATAAGTTGATTTGAATAAAATTTATTGTGCATTTTTAGTTCACCTGGGCCGAAGGGCCATGTGAGCTTATGCCGTACTGTGGTGTCCGTCGTCTGTCCGTCAACTTTTTCTTTTGAAGGACTTAAGCTTCTTCTGAAGAACTGGAGGACCTAGGGTCATGATATATGGCCAGTAGGTACCTTTTCATGGGATGGAGTGTTATAAAGTTTCCTCATTAAAAAACTCTTGACCTACTTTCAAGGTCACTGGGGTCAAATCAATCGAATTAAAATCAGATCTCTCATTACATAACGTAGTGTAATAAGAGATCTGATTTTAATTAGATTGGGGTCAAAGGTCAATGTGGGTTAAAAGCTTTAAAATTAAAATTTCAAGTTTCAAACAACAATATCTTCAGAACCATTTATGAGATGTTAAAATGTCTTGTGTTCTAGTTACCAAATTTGGTCTTAAGTTACCTATATGTCAGTTTCATGTAACAAAAGAAACAGGTGAGCAATACTGGACCTCTGGGCCTCTTGTTAACTTTTAACACTTATACGGGTCCCCATTGGAAATGAGCTTTCTATGGCTTTGATGGGTTATCCCAGGGTAAGGCAAAATACATAAATTATAGATATCAACTTTGCAAATTACTTTCTTATATGAAATTGTTTGGTTGTGTATGCCTTTTCCTGAATAAATATTATTATTATTACAAGCTCCTGAGAGCTTATGTTAACTATGACATATATTCAACGTAAAATAATGATTCTTGTATCTTGTATTTTGATGTAACATGCCACTATGCTTTTATCCGATAGCTTTATGATAAAAAAAAACACACACACAAGCTTTTAATCACAAACTTTTCCTCGAATGCGCCTATGTATAATCTTCGGCACGATGAAGGACACAAGTTAAGGTATACTGTTCAGTGGCGGATCCAGGGGTGTTTTTTGGGCTTCAGGAACCACACCCCCCTGATAATTTTCTTTAAAAATCATGTTTTTTCACCATTTTCCTCAATTTTTCCCCTCATGTCCCCCCCC